CCCGAGGAGCCCAGCGCACCCCCACTTCCGGTCACTGCGGCCCCAGAGCAGCCCCAAGCGCTCCCCACCCAGGCTGGGCCCCAGTTCCCACCGCAGCCACCCGGAGTCCAGGAGGAGGACGTGGACCCCAACTCTGTGCACTCCGTCCCCAGGGGCATCCCTGAAGGTAAGACCTTGTCCTCTCTTGAAGACACAGGGCTGTAGGACCTGCGTCACTGTTCTGGCTCCCTGCGCAGGGAGGGGACTAGGGCATCAGTCCCTGGACCCAGGAGGCCAGAGACCCGCCTGCTCCACAGCGCAGCCTCCCTGGGGGCCTCTGCGGAAGGCCCAGGGAGGGACCTCTGGGAGCGTTCATTCCACAAACCGTCCCTGGTGTCACCTGTGAGCAGGACCCAGTAGCTCACAGGGGCGGGACACTGATGTCAGAAGGGACCCAGGAGGTGTGGCTGCTGGGATGATGGGAGCTGGCGGTGGCCATGGGCAGGGACTGGGGTAGCCTAAGCCTGCAGAGCCAGGGGGTGACAGGGAGTCGGAGGAAGTACACATCCAGAGGGGCAGGCGGCCACAGCCTTGCCCCAGCTGCCTGCCTCCCAGGGTCCCAGGCCTCAGGGAACCCCGCTTTGTTCTCAGGAATCCCAGTGGTTTTTTGTCACTACCCCGGGATTGTCGGGTGCGTTTTGATGAGGCTCTCTGGGAGATAGATCCCCTGGAAGCACATGCAAAGGTCCTGAGGCTCGAAGGAGTGGGTGTGGGACAGGCAGTGACTTGGAGCGCAGGGAAGGGATGGGGAGTCTGGGAGAGGGTGGGTGTCACCGGGACCCGGAAACTCAGGCCTGGCCATCAGCCACCCTTCCTCCCCACCCGGGGCCACCTGTGCCCCACTTCCTGTGCGCTGCTTCCAGGACACACCCAGATGTGGGCCAGTGACCTGGGCTTTGTGCCTCTGTTTCTCTGCGAGCTGCAAGAAGTCCTGGGTGGGCCGGGTGGCCTGGTGGCCTGCCCAGGGGTGAGGGGGTCTGGCCCGCGGAGCCTTGTGGCTGCTGCTGTTCGGGGAGGCCGGGGCGGGGGTCCTGGTC